ACTGACCTCTCTGACTCCTTGCATTGGCCTTTGTGCTGTGAGCCATGGATGATTCCAAACTAATTCAAGAATCTTTTTTGAATAACTGACATAACTGAGCATTTAAAGATGAAACAGCTGAGAGATGATTCTGCTCTTTCTATAACTCATTGTATGGAACCCATGAGATGGCTGAGGTTCTGTTCAGAGCTGGTGTGCAAAGGTCAAGAGGCAGAGAGACTGAAACCTACATAAAAGGCAGAATAACCAGAAAAGCTGGGGTTTACTGGTGGTTTTTTAGTGCAGATTAACCTGTAATGGAAGAACACATTCATTGGGAGAAAACTGGAAAACCACAGACACAAAAGAAAGTAATCTCCCTTTAGTTTCACGAGTCAAATATAACCACTAATAAATGTTGGTATTTTTAAATTTTTCTCTACATACTTTGAGATAGTTGTGCTGTATGTACAATTTTATGTCCTGCTTTTGAACATAACTGGGCACTTTTTATTTTCTAATGACACAAGTAACATATGTTCATTATAAAAAAAATTTTTTTAATGTGAATAAAACAAAAGAAAGCCTAAAAATTTAATTAAATTTCTTTCAAACAAAAATGTACACTAAATTATAAATGCCTAATAATCTTATCTCCCAGATATCTTCTTATCATGGTGAAAAGCCCAGGTACAAGCAGTATAAATGTACACAGGGAAAGATTTGTCTTCTTTGATGCATCCTCAGCCTTCAGCATTCTCCCCTAGGACTATTATTAATAGAGGAGTGAATGTACCTAGAGAAAAAAGTTATATATGTGTATTAGCATACATATCTATATCTTTCTATTAAGGTACAAACAAATGATAATACCATATCCATTATTATATGTATTTCTCTTTTTATTAAATATATCTCAGATATAGGTCCATATTAGCTAACTTTCTTTTTAATGTCTATATATAGTATTCCATTTTGGTCTGTGCCAGATTATTACTTAACCAATTCCCCTAGTGATGGATATTTAATTTGTATTTTTTACTGTAACAGTACGGCAACATTCATATATGTTTGTGTAACATATCATGTATAATATATATACATACATATAAACATGCTTCTGCAGGAATATCCATAGGCAAATTTCCAGCCTTAAGTTTGCAAGTTAAAGGAACATTTGTATTGCTTGAAAATTTAAATTTTGAAATATATTGCTAATATCTATGTGGTCTCTCCTTGTGAGCTATTTTGGGCTTTCTCACAGCATGGCAGGTTCAGGACAGTCAGACCATTTACACGGGAGCTGAGGGCTTCAAGAGCAAGATGCTGCATAATCTTTCCTGAGACAGCCTCAAAAATAACACACCATTACTCTACCACAAAATTTTGCCCAGATTTGAAGGAGAAGGAGGCCACCTTCTCATGGAAAGAGTCAAAGTTATACTGAAATTATCACATGGAATGGAAGACATTATTTTGCCTATATTTGAGAAAACAATCTTTCCCACATTCTAAAAAGCTTGTATAAATTTATAATTTTATTGAGCATGATTAGAATACCATTTCCCCATGCCCTTTGCAAATGTTATTGATGAAAAGTGGCTATCTCATCACTAGTTTGATTTATATATTTTTTATTAACATTGAACAGATTTTTATATCTTTATTGGCTCCTCATATTTCTTTTCTGGCTATTTATAAACTTTTCTATTGTATAAAATTTTATCAATTTTAGGAGCTCTTCATAAGTGAAGAAAAGCATCTTTTCCTTATTGTGTGTTGTAACTATATTTTTTATGTTACTCTTTCTCTTTGAATTTCCTGGTATGTTTTTGCCATACTGAAATTTATAACTTGTTAATAGTCATATTAATAAATATTTTCTATTATAGTTTTGGGGTTTTATATCTTCCTTACTGCAATATTATTTTTTGAAATCTCCAAATTTTTCTGATTTTGTTTATTTTACCTCATAATCTGCTCCATATAATGTTATATGGACTATGCAGAATTGAAATCTTCCTCACTTTCCTGAAAATAACTCCCTTTGTCAATTTATAATTTTTTTATGTACTGATTCTAGTTGCTAACATTTTTTCCCAGATTGAAGCTTTTCTCCAGTGCCAAAATTCCCCCAAACTTCTCATTTCTTGTGACTGTATCTTATTCAACAAAACCTGGAGTTTTTACTTTTATTTCTAATTATTTTCTACATATGTTGAGTTTGTACGATTCTCATTTATGTTGTTTTATATAATTAAAAAAATTTAAACTCCTTTGTTAAACATGTTAAAATTTTTATCTGTTTTGTGTGGCTGTATTCCTGGTATATTTTCAGTATCCATCGAGATATTCTGCTTCTTATTCTTATTTTTCTAAAAGTAACTTTGTATGAGAGTCAATACCATTTTGTTGTTTAATTTAATAGGAGCTTATTTTTCCTGAACTAGCAGTGGTCGCAATGGTTTTTCTAACTTCACGGAGTTCTCTCTTCAAGAGTTGTTTTTGTGTTCAAAACCAAGAATGCTTGTTTTTTGAACTGTCTACCCCTACACTAGCCTGATCTTCTCTTTTCTTTTCATGTTCCTTCTTTCTTTCTTTTTGTAAAAAATTTAAGTCCCCCCCCCCCCAAACCCTAGTTTATTTCAGCATCAGCAACATCTCAGCCATCACAAAAATAAGCTCTGCCGAGGGCAACAGAAGTCTCTAAGGCGAGGCGAAGGGCTCAGCAGCCATGCGGTGAGCATAGGAGTGCATGGTGGGCACTGCCGCCTCAATAAGTTAAGAAGCAGCAGGGCTGGTGTCCTTGGTAGGTGTGGGCCAGGCCTTCTCTTCTGGGCGGGCACGAGGTCATCAATGGCCTGGCCCTGCTCCAGCCACTGCTTCAGCCGCTGCTCCAACTGCTGCTCCATCTCAATAAGCAGCTTCACGCAGCCCACCGCCATCTGAACCAGCTCCACCTCCGAGAAGCCCAGGCAGTCTGTGCTGGAGAAGTCAAAGACCGCGCCCACAGCGGCGGGGTCTACGCCACCAGAGCCTGGCGTCTGGAGCTGCAGCCTCTCGAGCACCGCCGGGAACTTCTTGTGCTTGCCCAGGTGGGGCAGCTTGATGTGCATACCTGCCCGCAGCCCCGTGCCCAGGTTGGATGGACAGGTAAGGATGTAGACCAGGTGAGGGCTCCACATGAACTCATAGTTCTTAGACTTCAAGGGTGTCTCAATTTGGGTGAGGCCGTTGCATAACCTGTGAACACTTCCTTCATGTTGTCCCCCTTCTGCATGGAGATGACCCACAGGTGGTCCTCTTCGTTGATCTACACCAGGAAGGTCTTGCTGTCATTATGCCAGATGCCCTGGGCGTCAGGCCAGTCCAAGGCCATGCCCAAGGCCAGCAGCAGGGGCGACATGGGCTTGTCGAAAAGAAAGTGGTCGCTGATGAGGGGCTGCTGCTCCGCCTCAGTCATGCTCTTGAGCGAGTAGTACCTGCCACCCAGGTTGCCCTTCAGGCTCGACAAGGCTTCCACGGAGAACTTCTCGATGTCTCAGAGCTCCCTGCCGCTGCAGGGCGGCAGCAGGCAGAAGCTGTGGATGCTGCGGCCCGTGTGCACCTGCGAGCTCAGCACATAGTTGGGGTCCAGGTCGTCGCTGCCCTGCAGGCTGTCAGGGTTGAGGTTGGTCTTGTGCTCGTCAATTGACTGGTAGCTGCCATGCTGGTACAATATATGCTACTGGGATTATACCCTAAGAATCCTGAAAGACCAGTTCAAAAGACCCTATGCACCCCAATGTCCACAGCACCACAATTTACAATAGTCAAGTGCTAGAAGCAACCTAAGTGCCCATCAGTAAATGAGTGGATCAAAAACCTATGATACATTTACACAATGGAATACTACCCAGAAGAAAGAAAGAAAGAGCTACTACCGTTCATGACGGCATGGATGGAACTGGAGAGCATCATGCTAAGCGAAATAAGACAGGGGGTGAAAGACAAATACCATATGATCTCACCTGTAAGTGGAACCTAACCAACAAAACGAACAAATGAGCAAAAAAGAACCAAAGATATGGAAATAAAGACCAGTGGGAGGTAGAAGGGGGGTAACAGGGAAAAGAAGGGGAAGGGTCAAGTCAAGGAACATGTATAAAGGACCCTTGGACAAAGCCAAAATGGGGAAAGGTTGAGGGTGGGAGATGGGGGATGGGTGGGGCAAGGGAAAATAGTGGCGGGTAAATGGAGAGGATTGTACTTGAACAATAAAAAAAAATTTTTTTAAATAAAAAGAAAAAAATAAATTCTTTGCCAATAAAAAAAAAAGTGGTGGTACTTACGTATACAATGGAATATTATTCAGCCATAAAAAAGAATAAAATCTTGCTATTTGTGACGCTATGGATGGACTCATTCGGATTATACCAAGTAAAATAAATCAGAGAAATACAAATATCAAGTGATTTCACTTATATGTAGAATCTAAAAACAAAATCAATGAACAAAAAAGACAGAAACAGATTCATAGATATGGACAGCACATTGGTGGTTGCCAGATGGGAGGAGTATTGGGAGGCTGGGTGAAAAAGATGAATTGATCAAGAAATGCAAGTGGGCAGTTACAGAATAGCCATGGGGATGTAAAGTACAGCATAGGGAACACAGTCAATAATGATGTAATAACTATGTGTGGTGCCAGATGAGAACTAGACTTTTTGTGTAATCCTTTTGTAAGTTATACAAATGTTGTATACCTCAAACTACGTTGTATACCTCAAACTATGTTGTATACCTGAAAATATGTTGTATATCAACTAATTGGATGAAAAACAAAAATAGGAAACATAAAAATGACAAAAGAAAACTGAAAATGAGAACTGAAAATGGGAAATTCCTCAGAGACAGAAAGGGTGAGATGGCCATATAAATAGTCCATACTGATGGAGAAAGTTCATTCACATTGGGAACCCTGTGTGAGGTTTTGCTTCGGTGCCTAGGTGGAAGTAAACACCACTGTTCCTCTGATCGTCATGGCCCAGAGCTACATCCTCTGCACAGCTTTCCTCTTCTGTTTCTCTACCACAGCTCTTTCCATGAGCTCTAATGTTCTTCGACTCCAACAGAGACACAGTATTTCAGCCAGTCAGACTCTCCTACGGCAGTTGAATGGAACCTTTCAATGTCACCTCGAGGACAGGATGGACTTCAAGTTCCCGGAGGAGATTAAACTACAGAAGTTTCAGAAGGGGCAAGCCTTATTGGTCATTCATGAGGTGCTCCAGCAGATCTTTGATATTTTCAGAAGAAATTTCTCTAGCACTGGCTGGAATGAGACCATCATTAAGAACCTCTTTGTGGAACTCAGTTGGCAGGTGGACCATCTGGAGACAGCCCTGGAGAAAATCATAGAGGAGAAAAACTTCAGCTGGGAAAAAAACACGACCCTGTTGGACCTAAAGCAATATTACTTAAGGATTGTACAGTACCTGAAGGCCAAGTCATATAGCAGATGTGCCTGGACAATAATCCAAGTGCAAATCCTCAAGGACTTTTCCTTCCTTTACAATCTTACGGGTTTTATCTCCGATAACTGAACATCTGTCAGCCTGTGCCCCTGGGAAGAAGCAATGCTGACTGTGACCTCAGGCACTCCAGCCAGTCACTCTTTGATGGACAGCTAATGCACTGCCTTTGAAAGGACAGTTAGACTTTTCAAAATTTTATTAAATTATTAAATTATTTTTAAATTATTTAAACTTTTACTTTGGAAAATAAAATTTTTGAAACAAAGTCAACATGGCAGTTTTTATTTCAATTTGATTTATATAACCACCACCATTAAAATTTACAGGGCACCTATTAGATGTTCTTGCTAAAGTATGCCTGCAAAGTAGTACTGGCCTCTGTCTTCAGGGAATTTAAAATTCAAGGAAGCCACATGGAATACCCAAGGTAAGAGACAATAAGGGGACCTTTATCTTACTGGAGGATAAATGTGGCCTGAGCCTCTATAAAATTAAAATTGGAGAGGCAGGTAGGTGGCTCTGGAACTAATCCAGGGTGCCTACTGCTTCTACTCTGTATCCCAGGCTCTCTGGCCCTAAAGTTAGACTTTGACTGGCTTACGGGGTAACCCTAGGAATATCTTGTCTCTGTGTTCACCATAAACTCATCCCTCTCATCTCTGGGGTGCTCTGCTCACCATCCAAACCCGCAAGATTTAAAAATATTTATGTGCTGCCCACAAGGCTAAGGGTGAGAAGTCCCAGGCAATTCTATAACACTGTTAAGTAGCAGCACCTTCATTTTAGTCTTCACAGGACAGCCAAGACGTAGGGGTTCCTGAGGGAGCTGTGGGCTCTGAGTGCTCCCAGGACACAGATAGCAGAGGGAGAAAGAACTCTGCTGTATATCCCTGACATCTGGTTAGGTTTTCACCCCATTTTTTTTTCCAGAAAAGCAAGTTTGCTCCTGATCTCCCCTGCTTTGCTTATACAGAATTTCAGGAAAATCTTACCTGATTTTCCTCCTGCTCTGCATCTGTGGATCCATATAGTCCCTAGGGCCAAATCCTGGGCAAGGGCAGAAAATTAAGTCATTTCGGGCCAAGTGAAAAACCAGGATGCATGAGAGAAAGAGAAATTCGGGTGAGGTAGAGAAGGTACTAAATTTCCCCAGGGCTTATACTGGGAAAATCAAGTCTTCCTCAGAGCTCTCCGGGCACAGGGCCAGCATCACTGGATTTCTGTCTTTGTGTAAGAACCCTTTGGGTTTTGGGTTATTATGACTGTTCTGTTATGAGCAGGCTCTGTGCTGAACTCTTATGCACATAACCGGATTTAGCCCTCTTTGCGAGCACCCCGCTGATAGACACAACTATATTATTGCTATTTTACAGGTCAGGAAACTAAGTCTCAGAGAGATTTACTAACTATCTCAAGATCACATAACTAAGTGGAGGTTTAAAAAATTCAAAGGGAAGAATCACATACGATTGTATTTGTATCTAGGCATTTTCTCCTAGAGCACGATAGAAGTCTGAGTTCCTTTTAAGAAAGTCAGCCTAGAGGGGAAGTCAGTCAAATTTTGAACACTGCTAAGTCTTGTGCAGACAATGAACTTGGGGCTCCCCCTTCTGACTCAGGATGGGTAACACACTGGCTACCGAACAAAGATGCTTCACCCTGGTGGGTCTGCTGCTGTAACACCACACCAGTCACAGTCTCAGAAAAACAATAAACTTTCTCTTTCCGTCCAATTCCTTTCTCTTTGTGACCCCACACCCCAGAGGTGCCAGGAGCCATTCGACAGTCATGCTTATTTTTGCCTGGAAATCAAGACAAGATTAGCACATAGAAATGCAGAGTAATAGGCAGTGGCTAGAGCAACCAAGAAGATGCTAAACCAGTCTCTCTCCGTCAGGGATCTCCAACTGCCCACTGCTTTCTCTGGGCCAGAAAAGGGAGGCTGGGGCAGCCCAGGAAAGTTCTGTGCTGTACGTGTGCTGGGGCCCAGGACAGAGAAGAGGCTTCTTCTGAGGAATTATAAATAATTGTGCCACATCTGAGCATGTTGGCCCATCCAAAATAGCAAAAGTATGTCCATTACCAGTAGCAGATAAGTGATCATTAATATTAATTTCAATAAGAATGAGGGAGGCAACCCAAAGTGTATATGTATTTGCATATGCTAAATAGATAGTTACATATGAGGGTGTAGTTTATAAATTTATTCAAGCACTAGAAAACCTTGCAAGGAGAGCCCTCATTGCTTAGAAAAATATTGGATGTTGTAAGTGTAGCAACACAAAAGACAGTACAACACCAGTAGCTTGTTTTTGGGAGGAGAAGAGAGAAAGAGAGAGAGAAACTCACTTGATGGTCTGGAGCGGGATGCTCTGTGGAAAGGGACAACAGTAAAAAATGTCTGGTGAGGGTGAATAAAGGACTTATGAGAACAAGAGCGTCTCACATGCAACTTGAAATTATGTGCAGTGATGTGATGAAACCCTCACCTGTGTCTCTTCCAAACTCTCAGAGGGGATGGTTCCCTACACAGAGTCCCCATGTATGTAGAAATCATAATGAGTATCCCGGTCTGTATAAGGAAACAAGCACAGGAATTCCAGACATTTATACTTGAATCAAATTAGTGGAGAGAGAAGGCAGAGCCATGACAACAGAGCCACGTTTCCACCTCTTTCCTTAGGAACTCGAGGAAATCACGCACAGGACATGGTGGCTCCACAGACACAGATTGGAAGGGAAACAGTGTCATCTAGCTCTGAAGCTGTTAGGAAGCCCTGGCAAACATCTGGGCTACAGTTAATACATAATATTGCCTAACAATTTGGACATACAGATTATAGGGTAATATCAACGTATATTTGTATGGTAGATTTTTTGCAGGTAACTAAGTTGGTATTTAGGCACTTTTGGTGTCATTAGTGTTTTTAGGTACTCAGATACAGCTGATGTGGGGACTTGTTCAAAAGATACTCTTGAAAAAATGCAAAGACCATGCATCAACTGGGAGAAAATATTTGGCCAATCAAATATATGATAAAAACTTGTATCCAGAATATACTTTTTAAAAATACTATCAAAGCTAAGCAAGGCCCTAGCTGCATGGCTCAGTTGTTGGGGTGTTGTGTCCTGATTCCCAGGCAGGGCACATACCTAGGTGCCGGGTTCAATGCCCGGTCATGTTGCATACAGAAGGCAACCGATTGTTTCCCATATTGATGTCTCTCTCTCCCCGCCACCCCTTCCCCTCTCTTTAAAATCAAGAAACATATCTGCAGGTGAGGGTTGAAAAAAAATACTAAACTAAACAAGAAGATAATCGCTCCCCCCAAAATAGGTGATGTATTTGAGTGGATTATACAACAAAGAGGTACATGAACAGCAAATAAGTCCATGGAGAAGCTAAAGGCTTCTTCATGGATTTTTAGTGGCTTAGATCAGATAATGAATGTGAATTGTTTTTTGATTACAAAGGAGACCATTCTACCATGAGGACCTAGCATAGTCACTGGCCTTTCTGAGGAAAATCCAGCAGTCATCCTGGTTGAGTTTTACATACGATACACCTGAGGTCTACCCAGCAGACAGGGCAGGGCGCTTCACTAGTCTGGCTGTGAGACACACAGAGAGAACCAGCAGTTGGCAGTGAAGTCAGAAGGCAAGTGACACTGAGTCAGACCTTGCCAATGCAGGCATTTTTATTATCAATAAATTTACTGTGCCAATGCTTACTATAAATTTAAATTTATAATAAAATAAATTATTTTTTTATTTATGTCTTATAAATTTATCCTTTTGTTATCTTTTTTTTATTTTATTGATTATGCTATTACAATTGTCCTATTTTTTCTCCCCTTTATCCCTCTCCGCCCTGCACCCCTCTCCCGGAGGCATTCCCCCGCTACCCACTTAGTTCATGCCCATGGGTCGTACATGTAAGTTCTTTGGCTTCTCCATTTCCTATGCTATTCTTAACCTCCCCCTGTCTATTTTGTGCCTACCATTTATGCTTCCTATTACCTGTAACATTTCCCCCATTCTCCCCCTTCCCCCTCCCCATTGGTAACCCTCCATGTGATCTCCATGTCTGTGATTCTGTTTCTGTTCTAGTTGTTTACTTAGTTTTTGTTTTTGTTTTTTAGGTTCAGTTGTTGATAGCTGTGAGTTTGCTGTTATTTTACAGTTCATAGTTTTGATCTTTTTCTTAGATAAGTCCCTTTAACATTTCATATAATAAGAGCTTGGTGATGATGAACTTCTTAGCTTTACCTTATCTGGGGAGCATTGTATTTGCCTTTCCATTCTAAATGACAGCTTTGCTGGATAAAGAAATCTTGAATATAGGTCCTTGCCTTTCATGACTTTGAATACTTCTTGCCAGCCACTTCTTGCCTGTAAGGTTTCTTTTGAGAAATGAACTGATTGTCTTATGGGAACTCCTTTGTAGGTAACTGTCTCCTTTTCTCTTGCTGCTTTTAAGATTCTCTCCTTATCTTTAATCTTGGGTAATATAATTATGATGTACCTTGGTGTGTGCTTCCTTGGGTCCAAATTCTTTGGGCTCTCTGAGCTTCCTGGATCTCCTGGAAGCCTATTTCCTTCACCAGATTGGAGAAGTTCTCCATTGTTTTTTTCAAATAAGTTTTCAATTTCTTTTTAAAGTTTCTTTTTTAAAAAATATATTATTTATTTATTTCTAGAGATAGGGGAAGGGAGAGAGGAAAGAGGGAGAGAAAGATCAATGTGTGGTTACCTCTCATGCATCCCTGACTGGGGACCTGGCCTCCAATCCAGGCATTTGCCCTGACTGGGAATCGAACTGGTAACCCTTTGGTTCGCAGTCTGGTGCTCAATCCACAGGGCCACACCAGCCAGGACAGTTTTTAATTTCTTGCCCTTTCTCTCCTCCTTGTGGCACCCCTATCATTCGAATGTTGGAATGTTTAAAGTTGTCCCAGAGGTTCCTGGGCCTCTCCTCATTTCTTTGAACTCTTGTTTCTTCATTCTATTCTGGTTGAATGTTTATCTCTTCCTTCTGCTCCAAGTCCAATGACCTTTGAGTCCCATTG